CTAAGAAAAGTTGACCTGTGGTGACCACAAACATTTTCTAATCGATACCCCGTCCTGGGTATGACGATAAACTTCATATGGCAGCAAGGCCTTTTATTTGGAGAATTTGAGCGTTGAACTACCTCTTAATTGTTCGTGTTCCCAGGTTCACCCTGCTCCTGGGTGTTATCACTTGTTATTGGCTCCATCTATGGGCAAGTATTGAAGCCCCAAAACAAAATCAAGCGTACATTATTATAGAAAAAAGCCAACAATACATTATTATAGAAAAATGACAATTGGATTCTTAGAGTTAGAATAAACATCTATCCCTGTTTCAGTGAAGCTGCCAGGCAAAAGAAAAATATCGGTAGAAAGAAAATACAGTTTGGAGAGATGAGTTAAAGAGAGATAACTGATACATCCGGAAGTGGTATGGCACGAGGAATTAGAACAATCTACCCCGATGGACGAAATAAATGGTTCAGTTCGAAACTCCAGTCACCTGAAGAAAGCCGGGGCGTAAAACGACCGAAGCGTCGTGAATTTGCCAATAAAGATGAGGACAATAATGTAAATAATTAGAATACCTCATTTCAGAAATATAGATAAAACATGAGTACTAAATAGTTATGTAATATCAATCCCTCTTCATGACAACTATGCCGGGCAGACCTTACAGATTCTGAGAAAGAGCGTGTTATCTAGCGTGATAAACAAATTGAACAAGGCCAGCACGTTCGAACCCTCGGCCACGATGACTTGTGAGTTCGTGCTAGCAAGGGTTCCGTCTATCCAGTTTCACTCACAAGGCTTGGGTCAACCCGTGATATGTTTTTTTTTCAGTCACTTTCCCCTCCAGCCGGATAACATCAGAAAGTCTCCTTCTTGACAAATAGACCAAGGTGAGATTCGAACCTGGGTCTCATGGTCAAAATGCGAACTTTTTAACCCCTCGGCCACGGGCACTTTGCACGAACAAACATTAGACGTATAAATGGGCAACTATTCTGGAATTGAGTTAAATACTCGTAAAATCTTTATTATTTCATTAAGAGAAATGATAAATTATTAGCAAAATAAGAATGATGATCAGTAAAAATATATCCGTAACATTAACGATCATTTTAAATTATAGTAATTATTTAATTTACATATTTAAGGAGTTTCGACTTGTTCCTAGATTATTCCTCATAAAATGTGATCCTATCTATATCTTCTTGACAATTCGTCCGTATATATATATATATATATATATATATATATATATATATATATATATATATAAAAGACATTTTTATGTTCAAAATTCTCTTTTTATAGATACAAATATTTAAGTAAACACTCTGTTTATAATAAACAGTATTAAACAACATTTACCGGCCTGAATGTCCGAGAAATTTTTTCAGAAAATATTCGTCCTCCGACAGGATTCGAATCTGTATCCTATACGGAACCGTCATTTAGCTTGACGTGCCCTTAACGATTTGGCCACAGAGGAGCGTTCTGTTAGCAAAATGAATTTACTGCATGTAAACTTCAATCTTCCATGAATCTCTCACGTACATTCATATCTGCTCATGGCGTATCAAATGTAAACAAATGACGTCATACATTATGAAATGGACAAAATCCGATAATTATTTTAAGATATTTTTATGTTTAACATACTCCTTTTTTTTTTATAGATACAAATATTTAAGTAAACGCTCTGTTTATAATAAACAGTATTAGACAACATTTACCGGCCTGAATGTCCGAGAAATTTTCACCTCAAGCAAGGCGGGAAACCACTAGCATTCAAGGGGTTACAGAGAGTTGGAGCGAGAGCAAATAGGAGTGATAGAGGATGAATTGAAGGATAGGGGATAGATCAAGGCATATGTCGATTGGCATTACATTTGAATAGTTGGAGATTATAGCTATTAGGAAAACATGAAGAAGGGAGGGAGTTTCACAGGAGAGAGATGCACGACATGAAGCTATTGGAGTAGAAGAGACAGCTACATTTAACAGTTTCGACAGTGAAAGGTTGTGAGCGAGATGCCAACCTAGATGAACGCTTAAATTCATAAAGTTTGGGAACCAGCAAAAGCAACTCCTCAGAGCAGTTACCATGAAATTATTTGTAAAAAAAGACAGAGGGAGGCGACGGCACGGGTTTGAGAGAGCGACTGCAGACGAGATGACAGATCAGGACCAATTATGTTGCATATTCGTCTCTGGATCTTATCAGGAACCTTGAGACAAACATAAGAGGCACCAGACCATATATGGCTGCAATACTCCATGAAAGGGCGAATGGTTGATTTGTAGATTTGAAGGATTGACTCCGGAAAGGAAATTTCCTGACTAAACTGACTAAAGAAACATCAGCGAGAATAACTTGGAACAGTGCTTCAGTCCATGCAACAAGAAAAGAGTGAGTCCAGAGATTTCATGTCTAAGAACAATTAACGTTGATCTTGCAAATATAAATATTCCACTTGTCATTTCAAATTCAGTATCTCTCCTTCAACCGGAGAACTTAACCTCGGATAGGTGCAGTTGGAATCAACATAAGAGAGTATTCATGAATTATTTTATCTTGCGTAAGACATTTTATAAATGTCTAAACGCTGCCCAGCCATTTTCGTCGTACCAAAGATAAAATAACACAAGGCCACAATACTATTTTGATACAACATAAGGAAAGAAAAGGTTACAGAAAAGGTCGTTAATGAGTTCAACATCCCAATAAATTAGGTCTACTACGTAATTTCAAAAGAAGGGATCCCTATAAATTGGCTAAGATCTGTTTTTGCAAGAAAGACTTCAAAAATTGTTCAAAAGGTCAAGAAGCAAGTCAAAATTACTCGGAAAATGTTGATTAGTCAAGCGAGATCGAGTGGGACAGTTGTAAATACACTAGTCAATATTTAATATTGTATAACAGGACGGGATACTAAATCGTTAATCTTGATGGGGATCAATAATAACGTATACCATAATTCCCCATGTATACTACGCCTTCATCTAAATACGCACCCCTAAAATTGTGGTGAAAGTGTGGGAAAATGCTTCTACTCGTGCATAATACGCACCCTTTGTTTGGTAATCAAACCAAATAAATTATACTTCTCCAATTTCACTAGAGCCAGCGTTTTCTACTCTTACTCAAGCTGTAATTGAAGATATTTATCAAAAAACTCCAATCATCACGATTCTAAAAGGAAACGGAAACACCTATAGTGTGTCTACTGCGCAGACTCATAATTCTGTTTTTATTCTAACAAATCTGTAAGTACTTTTTCACAGAAAATGGTTTTAAATATAGAATAATATTATTCTAATTTAGTTTAATGATAATTCCTATTAAGTAAGTATTTTTAGGTACATATGATTGTATTTGACATCCTTATGGGGTCGAAATCGCTGAATGTCAAATTGTCGTATGTTTTTGCTTAGTCATTTCGCATCTGAAATCGACCTATGGAATGGCAATTATTTAAAGATTTGTTGTATAATACGCACCCCTAATTTTCTATAAGACGAGAAGAAATGTTTCTTACGCAAATAATACAAATACAAGCCCAAGCGCCACTCAAGATAGAGAGTTATTGAATGGAGTTGTTTTATTGTATTGGAGATTATGAGAATATGATATCGTTGATTTGGGCTTATTAGAAATTTAAATGTCTGAGGTGTGTTTTGATAGCGGACGGAAAGTGCGACACTGAAATCCGAAGCCGAACTGTGATTGTGAAAGTTAAGCAAATTATTAAGAGATAGAAAGGCTTTTTATAAACAAAGTAAAGAGTATTGAACTGTTACGTGATATCTGTCATTCTATATAGAAGTGATTGCTGGATAATCTCTTCAAAGACGAGAAAGAGACTTGAGACAACAGAAATGTGGTTCTACAGAAGGATGCTGAGGATAGCATGGCCTGAACATGTAAGCAACGACAAGGATTTCGAGACAATGTAAACAAAAATGAAATTCACTATTTACACTATTCGGACTATTATCCTCATCTTTATTGCCATATTTATCACAGAAATATAAACAGATACAAAAATGAAATTTATTCTTAACATCAGGAAGTGACAGGAAAATTTTCTAGGGCACGTAATGAGAAAGGAGGCTTGGAAAATCTGATCCTCACAAGACAGATTGAGGGAAAGAGGGACAGAGGAAAACACCCCATAATATACTTGATGTGCTTGGGTAAATGGATGGTAGAACAGGGTTTGAGAGAAATAACAAATAGACTTATTAAGACATACAAGGGACAGGAAGATGTGAAGAGCCATGAAGACGCAGAACATAAAAGAATAAGAAGGAAACAACATACATGAATTTTGCAACTAACAGCGCCCCGAGCCTAAAATTCCAGCCTTTCACAAGTACTCTAACATTAAATATGCCGATGGTAGAAATCATTTAAAACAGTAAAAAATTTTAAATAATTTGCTAACATTTAATGAGGATAACCAGAAAAGTTTCTCCACCAATAAAAATTATTATATCATCAGTTTAATAATTTTAACATCGCATTTCGCGTGATAGTCAAATGGAAATTCTTTTGAAAAATTAAATGTGTTGGTCATTAGCTAAAATCCATATAAAGTACTCACAAGACAAAGTTCTCACATGAGAGCGTTGCACAGCAAGAGAAAATAAAATCAGACATTAGACTTGGCCGTCGCAACCTATAGGGACGTCTTTTTCATCATCTCTCGCGTACCCGGAAATACCGGTTCAAAATGGCTATCCCTGGTGAAATACTTTAGAATACAAATGCTTTAGAAAAGCAATTCAAGCGGCATTTTAATTCCTTTGGCGACATTTTTTGTTTATCATTCCCGGTGTGTGTTCAATTGGTTGGCAAAATAAACAACTTCGTTTTAATACTTAGAAGACTTCAACTCATATTTGTATAATTGTAAATAAATGACGTATTATGCACTTAATATGGAGACTTGTTGTCATTTTTTGGTGTCAGTTTAGACAACCCACTTTACTAATGCTAGGAAAGAATGTTTGTATGGAATATTACCTTTTTTCCAAACCAAGACATTAACTTCTTATTTTTTCTTTCTTTGCTCTTTCCTCTATCATTCGCATTTTATGCCTTATTCATATTTTCTTGCTTTTCTTTTTCAGATCATTTTTTTTTTTTGCCGGCTATTTTTTGTTTCTTTTCTCTTTCATTGTTCATTTCTTTCCCCTCTATTTAGCTTCTCTTTTCTCTTTTCCTTCTATGATTTATCGCCTTTCGCTTTTCTTACTCGTTACTTCGGGGTTTCTACTCCTTTCTCTTTTCCGTTCTTTCCCTGACTCTTTTCGCTACTTCTTCCTCTTTCTATTTCTATTTCTCTTTCTGAAATCCATTCACTTCTTCTCTCTAATATTCGGTTCCGTTCACTTTTCCGCAATGTATCTGTTATTTCTATTCTCTTTCTCTGCTACTTTCTCTTCACTTTTCTCTTTTTCTTTCTCTTCACCTCTCTCTCCTTCTTTCTCTGCTCTTTTCTCTTTTTCCTTCTCTCCGGCTTTCTCTTTCTATTCACCTTTCTCCATTTTCGTCGCTTCACTTTTCTTTTCTTCTTTCTCGGCCAATTTCTCATTTTCTTTCTCTTCACCTTTCTTTTTTTCGTTCTTTTCACATTTGAATTTTTTCTCTACGTCTCTCTCTCTCTCTCTCTCTTTTTCTTACTCTGATTCTTTCTCTTTTTCTTTCTATGCAACTTTCCATTCTTCTTTCTCAGCTGCTTTCTCTTTTTCTTTCTCTTCACCTTTTCCTTTTTATCTCTCTGATCTTTTCTCTTTTTCATTCTGCTTCACATTTCTCTTTTTCTTTCTCTTCACCTTTTCCTTTTTATCTCTCTGATCTTTTCTCTTTTTCTTCCTGCTTCACATTTCTCTTTTTCTTTCTCTTCACCTTTCCATTTTTATTTTTCTTCGCTTCTCCCTTTTTTTCTTTCTTCGCCTTTCATTTTTTTCTTTCTCTGCTCCTTCCTTTTTTACTCTCTCTTCGACTTTCTCTTTTACTTTATCTTCACCTTTCTTTTTTTCTTTATCTTTACCCTTCTTCTCTTTTTCTTTCTCTAATCCTTTCTCTTTGTATTTCTCTGTTCCTTTCTTTTTAATCTCTGATTCTTTCACTTTTTCTTTCTATTCAACTTCCTCTTCTTCTTTCACTTCACCTTTCTCTTTTTCGTTCTCTTTTTCTTTCTTTGTCCCCCTCTCTTTTTATTCTATTTTCTCTTACTTTCCCCTTTTCCTATTCTCTATCATTTACCTCTGCCTGTATATTTCATTTTTGTTATTATAGTTCGTCTTTTATTTGTTTCTCTCAGAATTGCTTCATATTTTTTAAATGCTTTTTTCATTTCCTTCAATGTTTTCCTTAATCCTTCTTCTTTTTATTTTTTACCACCTCTTTCTTTTTTTCTATGTCCTTTTTACACATATTCTTACTCTTTTATTTATCTACTTTTCATTCATTTTCCTTCTCCCCGTTTGGTTTTAATGCTATACATCACATTCTTAAGATCACTATTGTTGCGTCTTTCTTCTTTCTCTCCCTATTGCTCTTCTTCTTCTTCTTCTTCTTCTTCTTCAACGCTTCTCATAATTATTTCGCCATCTTACAAGAGTACCCTTCATAATAACAAACGGATGCGTAGACATAATAAAATGCTCCAACGAAACCTTCCAACTTCATTTTCTTTTTAAATAAAGAATTTAGAAAAATAAAAGGAAACAATGTCCAAACGCTATAAATACAGCGTTCTTTAAAAACACGTCTGGGTTTGCTTTCTATTCACTGGATTTGTAACGCGACAAACAATGGCGCCTGTCAACAAATTCCTATGGAAGGAAACAAAATCAATATTTTATGAAGACTTATGAGACAGTATAGCGAACCTCTCACATTTTCAACCGATTATCTTGACCTACTTGAAAGGATGGCCAACTTCAAGTTCATAACCCATTTCCACATCATCACCAACTTCCGCCTCATTATCCACTTCCGGTTTATTGATGCCCCTTCTTATGTCACTCTTCTCGGAAGCTGTATTTCAACACAAGTTGTCCTTGCTGGCCTCTTTTCCATTTCGTGGAAATTATTTGACAAACATAGAATGCCTTTCAAGACAAGTAGCTAGAACTGATGAACAGTGTATAATATTCGATATTCGTCAATATTTTATTTACGAGTGTTTCCTTCTATCTTCCGGTTACTATTCTGCTGGATGAGGAATTATTTTCAACCCTGCAACCTTTTTTCCCCTCAGACGAACTATCGCAAACCTATTAATATTCTATTATTATTTACATGTAAAATTCTCCGACGAGCTACATTCTTTATTTCCACCAATCCAGATTTTAACAGCTAAGAACCGCCATGACAGAACGGAATTAGGATGATTCGTCAGTGTGTATAACACTGTCTAAATCCGTTCTGTTCATTTGTAAGGAGGAAGTTTCATCCGGAAAGCATTTTCACAGGAGCCGTTGTGATACAGACTACCGATAAGCCTCTAGCTTGAGTGGCTCTAGTGTCTTTAATTTTATGAAAATTATTATAAAAAAAAACATGAATATGTTGCTTTTGCTTTCTATGATCGTTAAGTAATATAAGTTGATTTTAAAATGAAGAACTAGCATTCGATGAAATTTGAACTCTTACTCCTGTTATGGATAAGGATTTAACGATTAAGCTATGGAAGGCCGTCAGCAGACACATTAAGATTATATTGCGATAGACCAAGTGCGAACCTTCTTAATACATGAGATACGTAGATGACAACGTATCAATGGTAGACACACACCTTTTTTTTATAGTAAGGTTCACCCTGTACACCCGGGGTTAAGAAGCAATTTATGCGAATAGGAGGGGAAGATAACGGTTAACGCTAGACTTGAACTGGTTACGATTGTCGGAATCGGGTAAACATCCCCGTGCGAGTCGGTTCCACAGAGAAGTGATTTGCAGGAAGAAGCTGTTCGGGTGGAACTTACTCTCATCAATGGAACACAGAGGGAATGTTAGTACTTTGCTAAAATGTACACATGGCGTGTGTCGTGAGGTTTAGAACTGGCAAAATCAAGTAATATAGCTCCTACAAGAAGTTTCCCCGAGAGTAGCGATAGAGGCAACGAGAGGCATGACACAGCCCACCTCAGGGAGAGAGATTGGATGGTGGAGAAAAATTCGTCACCCACAACCACTCGGAGACGCTTTTGACTCTATCATATGTTTCCGGCCAAATATGATAACAATACCCCATTTTTGGCCTCATCTGGCTCTTGTAAAGTTGCATTTAACGGTTAAGCTATGGAAGGCCATTAGTAGATACATTTCCAATTTACTTATATTAATATACACTTCGTTTGCGCAGTCATAAATATATATGATACGCACTGATGTCATTCAAAGAAAAAAAAAACATACAGTAAATCCAACATAATGTCCTAAGCAGATAAAAAAAAAATCTATCAGTTGGCAGAACAAAGTGTGTGTAGATGTCAGCATAACGTACAGTCCAAAATGCAAGCAACAAAATGGCGACGTCAAAATCAAACAAGTGTAAATTTTTGCCCGTGAAGTGTTATAACAAACGATAGAAAATGTGAGACCGGAAACGGAGGGCGCAATAGAATAGCAACAGATGACTTCCGGAAACAAAACTAAGTATTAAACATCAGTAAAATTCTGTTAGAAACAAAGAATATTGAACTTCTATCTAGTAACAACCTTTCTATATGGCTGTGAATACGGATCAATTTCCTTACAGATCGATGAAAATGAAATTTTAGGCAAATTATTTGCCCTAGTGCATCATAATTGCGCCTATAATAATTATCAATTTGCATCAATTTATATATTTCCTGGCCTATGAAATTTAAGGCAAATTATTTACCCTAGTGCATCATAATTTCGCCTATAATAATTATCAATTTGTATCTATTTATATATTTCCTGGTCTATGAAATTTAAGACAAATTATTTACCCTAGTGCATCATAATTGCGCCTATAATAATTATCAATTTGTATCTCTTTATATATTTCCCGGGCTATCTGTAGTGGGAAGGGGGTAAATCAACTTAAGATAGTATATTTGTGTCTGAATTACTTCCCTTACTCGTTTATGCAAATAAAATATTTATCTGCATTTAGAGAAAATTAATCAATTCCTTTACTTCTACGTTTCTTAGATTGCAGTCTTATTTGTTCAAGCCTTTCATATGAGGCACTCAAATACCTTAGTCTCTTAAGTGGTCGTCTTGCTTTAACTTGGTCTTGATCTAGGCTTTGTTGTCACCGTCTTTGTTGTTCTTTTGTTAATCTTTTTTTTCCGAGACATTTTCTCATTTCACTTATTAAACACATAAATTGTTTAACATGAAAACATATTGAGCAAAACGATTTATATAACACCAGGAATAATCAAGGAATTATCGATACCCTTAAACATCTAAAAAATATAAATGGAAGGGGTTAATTAAATTGTTCATTGGCCTCCATTTTGGTTGTGAATTCTTTGTTCCCGTTTTATTGAACCTCAATACATTGTTTCAAAACTTCTTTTATTGGCTCTCACTATCACCATTATATTTGACGGCACAGTAGGGACATAATACTCTTTCGCTTAATCAACATCTAAAATTTTTAGTTAGTCTTCGCACACCCACACATACACACATATATATATATATACATATGTGTGTGTGCGTGCATGTATGTTTATTTGTGCGTGTGTGCATCTGTGTGTGAGTTTGTGTTTATCTCGTATCGATTTCCGAAGAACCTAATCTTTGGAGAGCTTACCACCAATCAGAGACAGTCACGACAGAAACGCAGTGTATTGATATATATATATATATATATATATATATATATATATATATATATATATATATATAAACAAAAAAACACGTTTCTTCGAGATCGGTTTACCACCTGGGCAGTGTGTAGTTTCAAATAATTTTCAGCACACCGCACTAATCAGAGACACAGGGCGAAGAAGAGGCGACTTTGTGCTAATTCCTATCGCATTTCTCCGTCAACTGAGTCCTGTTGTGACTCACATCGGCTTTGCCAAATATTGGTAATGTTGCAACAAGCAAAAATCCTACTCCAGAAAATTCGATTTTCAGTAGGTACGCGTATTTTTGTTGCTATCTCTGTTTTTCTTTTCTTTCCTTAAAGAGTAAAATCATTAACAATAGTCTTGTCTATATTTCTGGGATGAGGTATTATGTACATTATTTACATTATTCGGACTATTTTCCTCATCTTTGTCGCCATATTTATTGCAATGTTTCGACCGTTGTACGCTCCGGCCTTCAGTTCGACATTCCAACCACCTGATGAAGGCCGAAACGTTTTAATAAAAATGGCGACAAAGATGAGGACAATAGTCCGAATAATGTAAATAATGAACAACAGTCCTATATTATGAATCTCTACTGAAGAAAGATTGTCCCTCCGACAGTAATCGAACTTGTACCCCATTTTCCATCAGGGAAACCCTTTCTATAGCCGAATAGTGCCTTTATTAATTCTGCCACGGAGACCACGTTGATGGAGCCAGTTTTGAATTCCCTATTTAAATGATCCGCATTTCTCGTTGGGAGTTCCATTCACCTACAACTGCTACCTTCAGTATCGAAATCCAAAGGTAAACAACAGTAATTTTTTGAAAGGATCTTTTTCATCTGGCATTATTTGTTGTTACTAAACTTTATTTTTATTTACACATATTTGAGTTACGAGCCCCCCTTTTTTTCTTAAAAAGTGCACATTGCCTCCGTATTCCATTGGCGAGAAATAAGTTCCACTCGAACAGCTTCTTCATGCAAACCACGGTTCTATGAAA